CTTTTCATACAATTTCTCCACTTTAGTGATGTTCAGACTGAAAGAAAGAGGTGAAATGTGTTAATGTGACGGCCATCTTGGTGTTGGTGACGTATGCAAGACCAGAGATGTAGTTCATTGAGCGTTTCACACAAAAAAATGTGTTACTTCACAGTTTTACGACATTTTTATTATTTTGACTTGCAAAATTATCTTAAAAATGTACAAACATCATATGTGTAATTCATTGCACAATTCAAACGGGATCGAAAGATAATCTTTCTCTCTCCATTGACTTCAATACATAATTTTTCCGAAATAAGGTCCCATGGAGGTCCACCGGAAGGGGAGGGACTTCGCCACTGTATGTCCAACATACCTGGAATTCTACCGAGCCCGGCGTACTTCGTAGCGAGAAACTTCGAGGCTGCACATGTCTAGACTCTGTGGTCTTAAAATCCCCACAATGCTTTGCGCACGGACCAATTTACCAAAATCTGTGGCGGAAAATGTAAGGCGGGGCCTCTCATATGACGCACACCTGCTCGCATGTTCCACTCTTTGTTTTCTGAATGCCAGGAAGTATTCTTGCCTCGCTTCTGAAGGAAGTGACTCGGACGACATGTGCTACCAAGCAAGCGTCATTGAGAAACACCCACAGACTCTGGTTTCAAACCGAGAGAAACCCATGTCATTGTATTAAACATTTTCCGATGAGTTCCTTGTAAATAAGTACAAAGATTTTAAATCTAGATAAATGATAGCCACCGTAGATATAGGAAACATCAATGAGAAAGGAAAGTCTGGTTGTGCATCCTTAGTCATATCTAGCAGGCTAAAGCAAGTGATCAATCCATGGTTTCACATTAAGTTGCCAATTCCAGTTTTGGATTCAAATTATCTTTCTTTCTAGTAGGAACTATAAATAATTGTACATAACCTTTCTCTAATTAGCAGATTCTAGTCATTAGCCAATGCATCTTTGGTTCAAACACTCGTTCTGTCGAGCTCATAGAAAAACTCTAGAAACCAGATTTTTGAAGGAGAAAAAGAAAGATGTGAGAAAACTCAAAAAAAAGCCAAACGCTGCAATGTGTGAGTCACAGTCTCACAGTCTGTCACATTTATGTGTGCATTCATCTGTACAGCATGATTGTGGGAGTGAGAAAAAGCAAAAAAACAAGAGTGGAAAAAGACTGAAAAACAGTGAGAAGCACACTCAAGCAGAATGAATCGCTGAAGATGGTGGGTGTCGCTTTGGTTGATGCATGCCATCACTTTCTGAAAAGAAGTCAGACAACTTAATCAACGAGCTCATCATGACTCTCTGGCTCTTCAGTTCACACGGACACTCAAACATCGAGGTGAGCATCTATCCCTGCAGGTGGGATCCTCTCCGCCGTAACATTTCATCGCGCTCTTATGGTTGATGTCTCTTATTCCCAGCCTCAGCAATATTTACAACTCAGAGATGGGGGGATGGAGATGATGGTACTCGCTTTTACAGGTCTTCAGGCGACATGGGGTCTGGCTGAAGGAGCCAAAACAAGGGCATCAGAACGGTAAAGCAGCCGGGGAGTGACCGGCAAGGACAAGGACCTCTCCCTCCCTTTACTGCCATCGTCAAATAGATGAACCCCGGTTTTCATCAACCTGAGAGCTTTACAGCAGGATGATCAAATCCCAAAGGCACGGAGCAAACAACACAAGGACATCTACTGGAAAGGTCCAAGGACAGATCAGAGGGTGTAAGGTCACGTTAGGGTCGGACACTGCCAGGAGCAAACACACGACACAGTCTTACACCAGACTGTGGTCTGTAAGGGCTGTAACCCAATGCTATTCTTTTTACATTCAAAGCATTTATGACATCTTCAAATAAAGCTTTCAATACTCAAATAAAATCCTCTCTGTGAATGAATTGATACATTCGGGTACATTAGATTTGTTTTTGTTAAATCAACACACTCTTACAAAAATAACATCAAAGCCAAAAGCGGATAAAATAATGAAGACAGATATATTTGGTAACGACTTAAGTACTTTATTAGAATAGCTTAAATACTTTGTTGTTGTTGTGGATATACAAATGTAGTAAATGCTGCTATTCGTTGGTAGCAAGCAGGAGAGTAAATGTTTTTGAATGCAGTAAAATTAGTGTTTTTAAAAGAATAAACATGAATAATATGATAGCCGCAGAAATATATATATTTCTTTTAAATTTTTTGAATGTATAAAAGCGATAACATCTATCTTTTTTCAAATTAATATATATTTCTGCCTGCGCTCTGGAGTTATTGATAATCTTTGGAGTTGAAAACGTTCCTACAGGATCTAATTTAAAAAATAACTATATAAACATTGAAGCCTTATCGTAACCTACAACTCTGCAGAGATACCACGTTGAAACAGAATCAAATGAATGCTGAATAGAGAACCAACATCATGAATGTAGCTTGAATCGATTCAGCTCAGCAGTGCAGCTTCCACACAGCATGTATTAAACTGTCTTGAGTGAAAATCACAAATGAAGATTTAGGAAACCTTTCTGAGCTAAACTGATGCACCGCTCAGACTGATGCCTCCTCCTTCCTCCCTTCCCTCCCCCTCTGTCCTGCTGGTGTTAATCATTGCCTGTGAGACTGCATGGCAGCTACTTCCTCCTAAAGCCCTGATAACATCAGGAGATAGACAGTATACACAGAGAGAGAGAGAGAGAGAGAGAGAGAGAGAGAGAGAGAGAGAGAGAGAGAAGGTTCCGACACTGCCTGTGTATACTAACCAGGCACGCTTTGATACCAGCAGGCGACTTTAACTGTCACGTGCGACTGGACCTGAGCCGAGCGTGTTCATTAAACACAGAGTCTACACTGTGGTTAAAGTTTAGCTGCGTCTCAGGTGACCAAACAACATCCTCTGTGACACGGATACACGATATAGCACTTACAGGCAAGTGGCATAGACT